AGTTAAATCCATGTTAAGTGGGTATGCAGAGAGATCATTCCAAAAATACACTTCTATCACACTACTTTACTAACTCAGTAATCTACAACTATCCACCAACAATTAGCTGCAATCTTAATAATGATTAAATATGATTCAAATTATAATGGCGATCCGTCCATAACGTGCAACCTCCGTGACGCTCTCCAATAGAATGCCTCGCAAGATGGCTGTCCGTTTGACGTTCCGCCAAAGTGACATTGACAGCTCACTCTTAACAAAGAATCGATTACAATCGTATTCAATCGATGATCGCGCCGTGAAATATATATTTCTAACACAAAAATAATTACAAAAAAAAAACATAATTTGGCATAAAACTAAAACAAACTTAATTTATCACGATACTTCATATTGTAAGTCTAAGTAGTATCCCAATGAAGAATACGATGTAATTGAAACTTCTATTCAACGAAGATATTTTTACAACTACAAGAGAGAGAGAGAACGGCTACAAGAGATCAAAACAGATGCTTAAAATAATAATTGTATTTCACAATGTAATGAACTAAACAATTTATACACTGATCCTATTTTAGATGGAAATTAAAGAAAGTATTGTGAGTAGGGTCAAGTGTGGCTCTCGAAAACTAAATTACGTACTTCTCTACTAACAGAAAGGTTGATTGATCTGTTTGTATGTATGCTACGTTAAACACAGCATTATTGCTATGGGTTGATATTGCGTACTTATATCAAATCTTTATTGGAATTAAATAGTAAAAAAAACAATATGTTTTGACTCAGTTTCCATTATAGAATTTAATTGATGTTCTGGGAGTCGAAAACGACCATTACTACTAACTTTAAACATTGTTACAGAACAATTTTGATTATTTCTAGAGGCTTCACCCCCCTCCCCTCCCCCTCCCACCAACCCTCTATACTTATGAATAGATTTCCAAGATATGTGACAAAGTTTGTGAAATAAAATTGAATACCAACGAAAACAATGTTAATATATAGAATGGAATTGCTAATTTGTTTAGAATGTTCCAGGAAATACACATTATATGTATTTATTCCATCAGGTCAGTTTTGAAAACTAAATGAGTTGCCTGAAACAAACCGAGTTAAACTGTTGCTAAAGTTTGCAATCACGTACCGTGGTGGAAACTTTCTTAACTTACCGACTACGAAATTTCATGAACAATTATACCGTTTGATTCAACAGTTATGTTGAGGTTTTAATAATTAATATATTCAAATTTACTTCATCTATAAATCCTTTATAGTTCTTACTTAAGATAGTTATCAATATTTTCATCACTTTCTCTTAATCATGTAACATTTCTGGCAATACATCCATCTCTACATAGACCTAACCTACCAATTTACCCTTCCATACTCATATTTAAAGTTTACTTCCTCACATCTGAAATTTATACTAAAACTAGCGGACCCAACAGACGTTGTCCTGTCTACACGTCTTTAATTTGAATAAATTAATATGAAGTTAATATTTGATGAAAATTGTGAATCTAAACCATTCCCAGATCCCCTTGAACACACACAAAAAATTTCATCAAAATCGGTCCAGTCATTTGAGAGAAGTTCAGTGACATACACACTCACAGAAGAATTATATATATAAAGATGACTTGGCGACGACAACCCATCCGCGAGGAATTAAAAACAAAAAACTTAATTTGTAAGCTAACCGCTAATCCATGTTGAAATCTCTGTTCCAAATTCTATTCAGATCCTTTTAGCCTCTGATAACTAATACTTAATAACAAACATCTATCCATACAAACTTTCCTATTTATAATATTAGTATAGAAATAAATAAAACATTTGTTTAGTCCACAATACAAAAGTGTAATACTCGTAATAAAATGTGCAATTTCTTTTACTATGTTAAATAACTTGATGAATTTAAACGGTGTACAATACAGCGCTGGTCTAATTGCTTCGTGGAAAATGAGAGAGGCTTTTATTTAGTCTTTTCGTTAGCAGTGTCAAAATTATAGCAACATTTTGTGAAAATCCGTATTGTCTTTTATACATTTGGACATGTTATTTTAGTAGCTTCCGCAGTGGTTTTGATTGTACTGTGTAAAAGAATATTTTGTTTTTGGAATTTTGTGTAGTGTTTTGGATTTAGAACAACTTATTATACAATATTTCTCCGTTATTTAATTACATTAAATGATAGATGATCTTGTCAGGTGAAAATCAAAGAACAACCACACGAATAAAAACTGCACAATTTTTTTTTGTATAGATATAGAGTAACAACATAATTTGTAAAAAATAGTAATTAAATTAAAAATTAAATTATTAATTTCCAAAATTCTAAAGCTGGCAACTAAGATTTTTTATTTTTTTGTTAAGAAAAAACACTGGAATATCAAAGAGGTTGAGATGGATACTAGTATGTTATTATACAAGTTTTCAGCCAGTTATGTTTCCCTCGATACAACTATTACATAAAGTCGCTGCAATCATAATAAATTTTCTCGACGCTCCTAAAAGACTTTAAACGTAAGTATCACATATCACTTATCAGTTTGAAAGTCTGATTTCACTGGAAGCAGTATATCCTTAAAGTTTTGCACATAAATTTTACTCCGATATGCACGTAACACGACGTACTAAAGTCGACTTCAATAAAATACCTATCAAGAATTTATAGACAAGGGAAACACTAAATATACTTAAGTCTTTACTATAAACACATAGGAGAAATTGAACTAAAATACACAAAATATAGATGCGTTTTAATAATTATTAGGAAAAATAACAAAAAGCTATACTCCGACGCGCCTAATGACTAGGCCTTTCCTTAGTGACAATTTTTTTGATAGGTGAAGTAATCTCAAACATAGAAAACTAAGCAGAGTATTAATTATATTAGTAATAGTTGTTGAACGTGACTCCGTCCGCGCGAAGAAAAAATATAGTAGCCTATGTGTTATTCCAGGTTATGTTCTACATCTATGCTAAATTTAAATTTCAATAAATTTATAACATTAGTAAGATTATAAATCAATACAGGATTTTTTCCTATCCGCAGTTTTTTAATTCATTTTGTAGAAATTTATAAATTGAAAGATCGCAAAACTACTCGGGGTTATGATATAGAACAAAATAAAATAATTTTATATTAAATCTCATGTATTGAATATTGTTTTTTTTAAGCTAATGGAATTTCTATATTATGACGGGTATTTTAGGTAGTCTAACCAGAACTCCGGTGGCGCAATTTGGTCATTTTGTCAAAACTGAAGTGAAAGAAAGGCCCCGGTTCTAATCTACGGCATGTAGGCACTACACGCCTCAGGTCAAAAACCGATATTTTGCTATTTGTGACACTTTTTAATTTTTTACAAAAGATTCCAAAATTAAAACCTATATAGAAACTTTTTTCTTATAATCAGTTATTTTAATCTGTGACGTGCAAATTTTACCAGTTGAAATATTGCAATAGCAATAATAAATATGTAAAAATAAGTTAAATAAATAATAATAATAAATAATAATGTCATAAAATTAATAAACACCTGACTACATCATGTCGTGTAAAGTCGTGCAAAATAGAGTGACAAGGGTTCGGTCTAAAGTGATCCTCACCATATTAGGCTCTTAGACCTTACCTTATTTAGAATAAATTAAGAAATATTTAACAAATAACAGTAAAAGAGATTATTAATTATATTTATAAAAGGAAACATGTCCTAGAGCTTAAAAAGACCATCCAAAAGTAATGAATATTCGAATGTATGTCTATTCCTAAATTGGAGCTGGAGAGCAGAGCAAATGTCGCAAGTTAAATTGTGTTTTACCCGATTGAAACAAGGAATAATTTTATTTATTTATTATCTTTTTTATCCAGTCAATTATTAAAAAGTTAAAAAAATCAAGCCGTATTTTGTTGATTTGACATGCTCGGCTTTCCACTTATATTCAACAGTATAAAAGATATATATAAAATAAAGATGTACGTTGCCTAAAAGAAAACCATAATATTATATGTCAAAAATCTAGTTTTTTGTAGCTTACTATTTTATATGTTACGCTATGTTTTCTTGCACATTTGATGTTGAGACATATTCTTACTATAAACTTTCAACTGCACTATATCAAGTTCACAATCTATAAACATTAATCGGTAATGAGTGTTTCCTTTGGTTAAGCGTTCCAGGGTTAATAGCCGACTCGCTTGTAAAGATTTAAGACCCTATTGTGTCTGAGAGTGAGTTAATGTATGCCACAATCTAGCTGTTATAGCATTAATTAACAATGGGCGACATTAAATGTGCTATCTTTTCAACTAAATTACGAACAATAAAAGAAGAATCACTAGAAAAAATTGATGCTATATGTTGTTTATATCCACTTGTGTGATAATGAACGCATTCAAATGTCATCTTTTAACATATGTGAGAATTCGTAACAAAAAAAGTTAATGACAAATAAACATGGCTGTTCTTATATGACGCTACGAGGTAAGATGTGTGAACAAAACTTCTAGGTAATAATTTGTATAAATTTATTAAAATATCGCGTTTTAGAAATAGTCAATCAATCCACTTTAAATAATTCTTAATGAAACGTTGAGACTTAGCAACAAATAAATATGACATTTATTATTTCTACATAAGGGTCAGCCTGATAAATACAACCACTCTACGATCAGTTGTTCATAGCCATAATTGGCCATTGAAAATATCTAGAAAGCTCCTACAACCTTGACCAAATAGTAGTTCCATTTTGTAGAGCATCTACGACACTACGACAATGCTACGCCGCGCTACAACTCACTAAATATAGTTTTTCTAATAACACGAAATTATGGCGCTACTAAAAGGAAAAATGCCCAGCTTTTTATAATAAAAAAATTGCAAGCAAAACAATTGACGTCGAATAAAAAGGCTTAATACAATACGCTACGGAATTTTCGATAGAGTGTGAGTATAAAGTGGTATGGCCGCTTCAGTCTTTCTCCAACCGTTGTGGAGTGAGCACGTACGATCCGACTTCGTGAAAGCGATCGACGTTATCTCGACTGCGGGAACAATTTTCATAATTTTCGAATAAACGTGTTTCTATTATTAATTTAATTTGAAGCGATACATTGTGTTATCTAGGAGTCGAAGTAAATAAGGATGGTTGTTTAAAAGCATTAATAGCATTTAAAAACGTCGCAAAATGTAAATTAATGGTGTATTGTGAAATTAACAGATTTTTTATGACCGAGTGATGTTACGACCACCTTTAGTTTGTGGTTTTTGATATCGGTAAGTTTTCAAACTATTAAATATATAAGGAACTTAAAAATATGTATTTTACTCAACGTTTTGCTTAATATTATTTAAATTACTTTTTTTATTTATCAAATAAGTTAATTTGAATAATGTTTTTATAATGTGTAACATTTCTTTAATAAACAATTGGAATTATAAATAGACTTTTAAATCTATTAAAGCGGGGTTCTAAGAAACGTAGTTGTCAGTTTTGTACTTTTATAAGCTTTAAACTTATACTCGTACATTACACAACATTAAAGATCTTTTTATTTTCGTAGTTTTCCATTTTCCCTTCTTAGGGGAGAACTTATTTGGATAAATCTAATTTAGTTGATACTCCTATAAAATCAAATCGTTCCAGATCAAAGTATCGAATGTTATTTTTTGTATATTACTAAAATAATTATTCATGATTTTTTTATTTCTTCAATTTTATACGCTACATGTAATTACTTATGATTTACAATTTTTTATATACTTCGTTAAATAGCATAAGTATAAGTAATAGATACCATAATATATAACACGGTTTTATTCGTAAAAGTATATTGGATAAAAAATTGTCCTTTTATTTCTTATTTATAAATAAAATTCGGTAATGACTACAGAATTTAATTAGTAATTTACCAACGCTTCATATTCTTTCAAATGATCACATGAGGTTACTTATAGGATTTCAATTGTTTACTACTAAGTTACGTCAACTAGTTAAGTGAAATGCTACGTTATTATTAACAATTTCACGTGAGGTGTGGCCTGGTTTATCTGTATAGCTAAATCGAGCAAGTACAGTGAATATGACAGGTGATTCATTGTGTTTATAATTTCACGTCCGTCCCAAACAATCTGTACAAACATGTATGCATACGGGAAATTGAATATGAACAAATTAATATGGGTTGAATTAATACGGATATTGAACTAAATCATTATCATCATCATCATCAACTCACTGAACGTCCCCACCGAGGTGATCGGAGCCTTTTTTCCAGAGAGGAATGCTTTATGCATACTCCACGCCCCCGGGGGGACGCGGTAGTTCTGGGGATTCTCCTCCATTTCGGAGGCATACCCACTAAACCTCTCTGTTCATCCAACGCATCGGGACGGGGCCACGGGCACGCTTTCACTCTCGTCCGCGGCCCAAGTTAGAGACTACCCTTAGTAATGGGTGACTAAATATAAATAAGTAATTCTACGTAGATATATACGTTTCATTGTGATCTTCTGTTACCCAAACTATTTGATTTAATTTCATGTGTGAGGTATTCGAATAAAATTTGGTTTCCATCCAAAATCCCTGCATAAAACATATTGTTATCTCGGTTTTGTTGATAGTAAGAGTTATTCATGGATTTTGGTCTCAGACGCCACCGATCAGTCAGGGTTTTTTATGGTTTAACAAAAATTACAATATCAACAGTCCAATTAAATTTTTGCATTTAGTCGTCCACTAAACCTATGTTACAAATGATATACGATGTTATAAAATTCAAACATAAATACAGATTTAATAACATCGGGCTAGATGCTATGTTTAAAGCAGAAGATATGCTGACTGCTAATCGCCTTAGTCGTAATTACTAGATAGGATCGTCGGCAATGCTGACACGAAGTAATCGATATAGCCAGCCGTTTCTAATCGCACTTACCTTTATTCACATCGTCTCTGCGATGAACCCGACTTCATTACATGAGATTTTATTACTGGACAAAATTAAAGATATGTATCACATGCTACTTGATTTTGTATTTTATAATTTGACAAGTGAATGCCGCAGTGACGCGCAACGAATTCAAAATGAAAAACGTATGATTGGATTACGATCTTCACTTATTTTTAAAAATTTTTAGAACACATTAATTTATTAGAACCAAAATCGAACAATTTTTTTTTAAATTTGAATATGGTAATTGTTTTGTTTTCTGATTATATAATACTATAAATCTATGTAATAAACCCTTAATGCAGTTCAGATAATCATACGAATACAGACCAAAGATTATTGTTTGTTATAACAATAATGCCAACAATACCAAGAGGTTTCTGAGACCTAAATCTCAGTATTAAATATATCTTCATCCTTTTGAAAAAACAGAGATACCAATATCTTTTTAACGGGAATTTTAGTCTCAGAAACCCATAGTAAGTCAATCGTCGGATAATACGTAAATAAGAAAGTTGCTCGCGCATTTCCTGTATATTGTCGAACTGTGACGTCACATGTATTGTCTGCCAAGAACTATATTATGACAGCGTTTGCCAAGACTACTGTGCTCCACTTGAAGTGGCATTTTACACGCCCTTAATAAAATGCTGAACATTATAATTGTCTCAGTGACACAAAAATGTGTCTTGAAATATTCGGAGTCGTGAAAATAACGTTGTAGTTGAAATATATAAACATTATGTATTATACAACAACCACAATTTCAGTATATTTTAAAGTTTTCCAAAATATGTGTTCTTGTATTATTTAATATTACGTAGTGCAATAACTGTAAAAGTTTTTAGTCTATCTCTGACATCATCATCAGCTCACTATACGTCCCCACCGAGGGACTCGGAGCCTACCCTAAATTAAGGGTGATCAGGCCATGTCTGCGTCAATTAATGAGAAATTTTATGTAGTTTTCCTAAAACTATTTAAATAGTAGCTGTCGCCCGTGACTCCATCCGCGCGGAATTTAAAAAAAAAACTTAATTAGTAGTCTATGTGTTCTTCCAGATCCATTGAGCCTGATCCAGATACCTTCAAACATCCATCCATCTAAACATTCGCATTTATTATATAATATTAGTAAGAATAAGATTAAAATCAACTATAATTAAATTAAAATATCCCAATGAAAACTTCCTCTATCAAATAATGACATCGATCCAACAACAAACTTTACCAAAAATTCAAAAGCACACAAAAATGGAAATGTCCAATTTAAGTCGCAGTAGTAATTTTATTGTTCGAATTTTTTTTGTTAACAGCTCCGCATTCGATGGAATGCTGGCAGCGGGATTAGCATATTAATTAACACACGTACCGTTCTCAACTCTCGAAACCGATGCTTGTAATTGTTCTCTCCGGTACTCCGTACATTCTATTTCACCAGTTTTTTAAAGTGAAAAAAGATGATACACACGACAGAAATTATATTTCTATTGTAATATTTCAATTTACTATTGAGACAAGTAGACAATGGGATCTTAAGGCTTCGAAATTCGGCGATTTTAGTTGACTTACGCAATACAATGACACAGAGCTTCGCTAACCTGTCGATCTGTCGTCACCCAAATCGGTTGTATGCAACGTGTTGATGATGCAGTAAATCTATACAGTTGACATACGTGGTCGCTATACCTGTACTAACAGAATAGACGACTCTCATTGACGAGTCAACGATAGCACGCATGGATACAATAGAGATTGGGTCTAAGTAAAAGGGCGTCGAGTATTTGGAAGCCTAGATTTTTTTTCAAGTGATCTATAGATCATACGTATAAGTCGTTAAGACTTTTTATTTGACTTACTTCTACTATCCCAATTCTACTTATTCTATGGTTATGAAGGTTGTTTTATTATTTTTATTATTCTAAAAGTTGCCAACATTTTTCCTTTGGGTAATCTTTCTAATGTTATAAATGCGAATGTTTTTGAAGGTATCTCCGGAACGGCTGCACGGATATCGCTAAAAGTCTGTGAGAACAAATAGGTTAATAAGGTTAAGTGTATTTTTTAATTCGGCAAACGGAGTCACAGGCGAATTAAAATAAAAAAGGCTATGATAAGTATAGATTCCACAACTTTATCGCCTCGTTAATAATTCATAGTTTAATATAAACATTGGAATAATGTAAAGCGAAAAGTGTTCCAATTAATCAAGATGATCCTGCAACAAATGTTTCCAACTTGGCCAAGCCGGCGAGGCGGGTTGTGACAACTCGCAAATTATACCAGCTTACACTGCTTTATACCGGCTTTGGGCGGAATTAAGCAGTGTGTAATCGTTGTACTAACCCAGGATTAAAACTTTTATCCTTAAGAGCTACTCCCTTTGGTAATTAAGAAAGTTCTGCCTATATCATTGTGTGTTTAAACGGCTGTCAATGACTTTCATTAATTTTTTTCAGAAAATTTCATTCATAATAATAATATACCCATTTGCACATTTATTTAATTGTATAACAAAAAAAGCGTTTCATATTTAATCTAGTCTTATGTTCGTGTCTTCAAAATGCTTCATAAAAGCTATAATACAATGTCCACAACCATTTATATTTAGGTCTTAAAACATTACTAAAATAACAGTCTGGGTCGAAGTATGTTTTGACAGCGCTTTTTAAGAGCCACTATGTTCGTAGTTCTTTTATTTTCTACAGATAAATACAACATGCTACATTTATAGTGTTGGTACAAGAGAAAATAAAACCGAACTTTGGTAGAAACGTTTTTAGAGTACAATAAGAACAAAAATATAAATGTTAAAATCTAAATAATTTGTGACTGCGACAAAGATCAAAAGTTTAGTGGTTACAAAACGTAACATTTTTAACAACGCTTAGATTAATATTGGTAGTGAAAAGAACAGTTTTATGTAACTTTTTATTACAATCAAATTATCAGCAAAATAACGCCACTTGCCGTTTGTTTCTGAGAACAAAGATCTGTATTAAACAAATATAATAATATATTTTATACAGCGGTTTTGGTCTCGGAAGCCTACGGTAAAAATGACAAAAGACAGTCTATTACAGTAATTTAAGCGGTTAAGGATACGGATTTTCGATCACGAGGTCGGGGGTTCGAATCCCGCCATTCGACTATTGTCGTAAACCATATCCTAGCACAAGCATAGAGCTTAGTTGGAATGGTAAAAGAAATATTAGTAAATTTACAAAAAATCTGCTAATATTTATTACATAAAAAAAAGTCTAACAACGCATGTAAGTAAGTAAATATGTGCTTTCGCCCTGAAAAAATACTGCCTTTCTTTTC